TTAACCTTCCTAGCTTCTCCAGGCATTTCACACAAGGAAGAGTCTCCTCAGGGTGGAAGCTGAATGTGCCATCACTTCTCTTTACTGTTTCCTGAATTTAACTCTTCCGCCTTCTCTCAGCATAAATTAAAGATGGGTAAGGGGCACCTGGGTGTCTCAGTTGGTTAAGCGTCCAACTTCAGCTCAATTCATGATCACACAGTTCATGGGATTGAGCCCCACATCAGGCTCTGTGCTGACAGCTAGCTCAGAACCTGGAGTCTGATTCAGATTCTGTGTCTCACTCTCTCTCTGACCCTCCACTGCTCACGCTGTCTCTCTCTCTGTCTCAGAAATAAATAAAAAACACTTAAAATTTTTTTAAAAAGCTGGGACAGGAGGCCACCTGGAATATCCTGCAACTGTGGCTCCACACAGAGTACAGAAGCTTCACACTGGACCTTCACTCAGTCCTCACTTTGGTAATATTTTTCTTGAGGACCTGGGGCCTCTGGCTAAATGAAATCCCACATCCCACTAAAGCCTATGGGAAGGCAGTAGGCTTTCTTCACCCTTTCTTAATGTGATTCTGTTTCCCTTTATTTTTCTAAATCCAAGTTAAGTTATTCTTATCCCACACTTGATTAAGAGTAAAAGATTATAACAACTTCATCTCCTAGTCCAGACTTTTTTGGGGTTTTTTTTTTTTAGCAGTCATCTTTTCTGGATTGTTCATGTGTGTGTGTGTGTGTGTGTGTGTGTGTGTGTGTGTGTGTGTGTGTTGTTGTCGTTGATTTATTTTTTTGAGACAGAGACACCACAAGTGGGAAAGGGCCAGAGACAAAGAATCTAAGCAGGCTCCACACTGCCAACACAGAGTGGGATGCGGGGCTTCAACTCACAAAACATGAAATCATGACCCGAGCCGAAATCAAGAGTCGGATGCTTAACTGACTGAGCCACCTAGATGCCCCTGGATTATTCATCTTAATACAAAACATAAAACCATTCAAATGAGGTGCAAGAGTGGAAGGGGGTTTCAGGATATAAACTAAGTACAATTGTAAACAGGCAACATATATATTTCAGACATTGCTCAAAAAAGCGTGGCTTAAAATATTAATCCCTTAAGGCATTCCATGTTATTTCTCTATTTAACCCAAAGACGGTCCTGCTTGGATTTGTGTGTTTTGTCCTGGTCTTCATGCTTACCTTCTCCATAATGTACCTATCCTCTTGCTGCTACCCTTCTTTTTTTTTTAAGTAAGCTCTACACCCAAGGTGGGACTTGAACTCATGATCCCGACATCAAGGGCTGTATGTTCAACCAGCTGAGCCAACCAGGCACCCTATTTTTATCCTCCTTTTGATCCTAAAGAGAGAAAATTCTTGAATGGACCAAAGATCCATCCCTTTCAGTCTTTGCTATCTGTGCATCTCCCACTGAATTGGGACAGACACTCTACTCTGCCTTTGCCCTTAAATGCATGTTTTCATCTGTTTTTCTGTCTTCCCCATATTGGGAAGATTTGGATTTTCTCCTTGATCATAAGTTACTTTGGTCTCTGTCCTCTCCATTCTTGCTTCTAGCTCTTCTAGTTATGCTATTTAACATAACTAGTTTTCTCTATTTAACATCAGTAAAAACTAAATTTTATCTCTTTTCTAACAAATCTCTATTGTTAATATATAGAGGGGCGCCTGGGTGGCTTAGTCGGTTAAGCGTCCGACTTTCGCTTAGGTCATGATCTCGCGGTTCGTGGGTTTGAGCCCCGCATCGGACTCTGTGCTGACTGTCAGCTCAGAGCCTGGAGCCTGTTTCAGTCTGTGACTCCCTCTCTCTCTGACCCTCCCCTGCTCATGCTGTCTCTCTCTCTCTCCTACAAATAAAAAAAAAAAAAAAAATAGAGAGTAAGCCTAAAACTATATGAGGATGGCATTTATGCAGTAATTTAGCTGTAGGTTTTGAAATACATTTCTTTTTTTTTTAAGCTACTGCTTAGATTATAGTTAATTCCAAGTGATGCAGAGGAGAATGTTCTCTGGCAGCTTTCATTGAGCCTCCTGATGCTTTATTTACTAAGTGGGCTGTGTTTCTTTAAAACATTAAAAGCTTGGGCGCCTGGGTGGTTCATTGGGTTAAGCATCTGACTTGATTTTGTCTCAGGTCACAATCTCACAGTTCATGAGATCAAGCCCTGTGTCAGGCTCTGTGCTGACAATGTGGAGCATGCTTGAGATTCTCTTCTCTCTCTCCCTTTCTCTCTCAAAATAAATAAACTTATTTTTAAAATAAAAAATAATTAAAAATTAAAAGCTTAGCCTACTCAAGTGAGTGAATATAAGTGGCCTGTTTTCAATAAAGAGTAAGTCTTTAAAAATTCTTTTGAGTATCATTGACACAGTGCTATTAGTTTTAGGTGTACAGTATAGTGATTCAACATCTCTGCACGTTATGCTCTGCTAACCACAAGCATAACTACCATCTGTCACCATACAACACTATTACAGTATCACTGACTGTGTTTCCTGTGTTACGCCTTTTTTTAATATGTATAAATGTTTATATATTTTGAGAGAGAGAGAGAGCAAGCAGGGAAGGGGCAGAGAGATAGAGACAGAATCTCCAGGAGTCTCCTTGCTGTCAGCACAGAGCCCCAGTTAAGGCTCAAACCCACAAACCGTGAGATCGTGATCTGAGCTGAAACCAAGAGTTGGACACTTAACCTGTTGAGTCACCCAGGCAGCCCCCCATGGTAGACCTTTTACTCCCAAGACTTATTCATTCCATAACTGGAAGCCTGTATCTCCCACTCCCCTTTACTCATTTTGCACATCTCCTTCCCTGCTCCCCTCTGGCATTTATAGGTCTGATTCTTTTTGTTTGTTTACTCATTTGTTTTTTTAGATTCCACGTGAGTATTACATGGTATTTGTCTTTCTTGGTCTGACTTATTTCACTTAGCATAATACCCTCTAGATCCATCCATGTTATCACAAATGGCATGATCTCATCATGCATAATGATGTGACATTATGACTGCATAATATTCCATTGTATGTATATTTTTCTTACTCATATGTCTAGTGATGGACTCTTAGGTTGCCTCCATATCTTGGCTAATTGTAAATAATGCTGCAGTAAACATGGAGATGCATTTATCTTTTTGACTTAGTGTTTTCTTTTTCCTTGGGTAGATAACCAATAATGGAATTATTGGATCATGCAGTATTTCTATTTTTAATTTTTTTGAGGAATCTCCATACTGTTTTTCTTTTTTTTATTTAAAAAAAATTTTTTTAATTTATTTCTGAGAGAGAGACACACACAGCATGAGCAGGGGAGGATCAGAGAGAGAGAGGGAGATACAGAATCTGAAGCAGACTCCAGGCTTTGAGCTAGCTGTCAGCACAGAGCCCAGTGTGGGACTTGAACCCACAAACCATGAGATCATGACCTGAGCCAAAGTTGGATGTTTAACCATCTGAGCCACCCAGGCGCCCCTCCATACTGTTTTTCATAGTGTACCAATTTACATTCCTATCAGCAGTGCGTTAGAGTTCCCTTTTCTCCACATTCTTACCAATGCTGCTTGTTTCTTGTCTTTTTGATTTTAGCTATTCTGACAGGTGTAAGGTGATATCTCATTGTAGTTTTAGTTTATATTTTCACTGATGATTAGTATTTGAGCATCTTTTCATGTATTTGTTGGCCATGTGTATGTTTTTGGAATAATGTCTGTTAGAGTATTCTTCCCATTTCTTAATCAGATTGGTGTTTGGGGGGATTATTTAGGGTTTTTGTTGTTGTTGTTAAGTTCTAAAAGTTCTTTATATGTTTTGGATACTAATTCCCTATCTAACATATCGATTGCAAACATCTTTCCCATTTAGTAGGTTGTTTAATGATTTTGGGGGGCACCTGGGTGACTCAGTCAGTTGAGCTTCCAACTTCATCTCAGGTCATGATCTCACAGTTCATGAGTTCAAGCTCCACATTGGGCTCACTACTGTCAGCACAGAGCCTGCTTTGGATCCTCTGTCTCCCCCTCCCCCCCCTCCCCCCCCTCCCTCCCTCCCTCCCTCTCCCTTACTCCCTCTCTCCCTTACTCCCTCTCTCTCTCTCTACGCCTCCCCTGTTTGCACTGTCTCAAAAACAAATAATACATTTAAAAAAAATTTTTAAGTAATTTTTTTACAACTGATGAAATCTCTGGATGGTGACGCTAGGAGAAAGTTTATATCTTCTCTTAGTGCCACTGCTTTCAATCTAGCATGCATAATGCTACACAGAATTATAGGACAAACATACCCCTTGATCCTAGAGTGTCATTTTTATTTGAATGAAAGGTATTTTATTTTTATATTACAAATAAAGGTGTATTATACAGGTGAATTTAGAGTTCACACGAATTGTTAAGATAAAATAGGGATTTGGGGAAAAATAGTTTGCTTGTGCTTTGAGTACTGAGTATTATTACCATTTTCTGTTAGTAAGCTTACTTCATTATATATGTTCAAGGAGGTCACTGTCCACACTCTTTTCTCTTTACCACTGCTTTTCATACTTTTCCTAGAGAACCTCTTCTATAATCTACCTGCTTTTTAATCTTCTGTCTGTCCCCAGAAACCTCAATTTTGAAAGATATTGCCTACCAAACTGTATCTGTTAGATAAACTATTTTACTGTATTAAAAACAAAGGAGCTGCAAGTTGGACTTTCTAATCAACATGAGTTCATCAGAGCCACACTGATTTCTAATTTGGCAGAGAAGCTATTTGGAGGCAAATGGAGGCATTATATAAAGCTTTTGGAAATAATGAAAGTGGTTTACGGATGGCATGTTAATACCTCTTAGAGCCTTCAAGGTCTGAGGAGCTCCTGAGGAGCCACAGCTCTTTAAACTATAGCCTTACAGTTTGAAATTAACCATATTTTTGGGTGATAAAAAGAGAATGCCTGTATTTCAGAGTGAGTATGTTGGATTAATGCCTTTATTACTTTTGCTTTTTGAACTTAGATTGAATATGAAAGGAAAAAGAAAGAAGATGGAAAACGAGCTCGAGCTGATAAACAACACGTTTTAGACATGCTATTTTCAGCATTTGAGAAACATCAGTATTACAATCTTAAGGACTTGGTGGACATCACAAAACAACCTGTGGTATGTATATGCTCACATTGATCCTTTAACTATGTCCTGCTTCAGTTAGACGACGTTACTGAAGAGAAGGGTCATATGTGAAGAAGTTCACATGCACCTGGGCTAATGTTGGGGCTTATTTCAACACTCAGGAAACATGTCTCAATACCCTTTTGTTTTGTTTTGTTTTTTCGGAACATCAGCTTCATTATTTTGATTTCAAATACATTAATGTTAACAGTTCCATATGAAGAAAAAGTAGATATACCCTTCCTTTGACTGATGCTTGACATTAAGCCTGAAATCTTTGTTTATATCATTTTCTAGTCTTTCTTTTGTTCCCATAGCTCCCTCCAAAAACACTCAGCTTCTTTTATTTATGTGAAAATGTGCCTCCTAGAAGAACCACATTCCTGTATGAGCCATACTGATTTGTCATGATGAGGGTGTTCATCTCTGTTACACGAACTGTGCTTTGGTGGATTTTTTTTTTTTTTTAATCAAAATTTACCTACCACTAACTAGATCCTTTTACACTTGAGCTGTGTACTGCCCCACAGTGTTGGTGGAGGTTGTGGTCAGGATGGCCTATTCTCTATTTTTAAGGAAAAATTTATTAAATTGATGTTTTAGAAAGTTTGTACTATAAATAATCATTTTTTAATCCCTGCTTCAGACTTTTGTGCTGGAGTCCTGCTCCGGCCAGGTCCAGGGGTCCCTGAAGGATGGACGCTGTCGGCGAGGGAGGGATAAGAAAGCCACCAGGCAGGCATCTCTGCTCTGACTGGGGCTTAACTTTATTTTATAATTAAGTGTTTGGGAGATGGCACAGAAGCGGCATTTGCCTTAGACAGTGATTTCTGATGATAAATTTCTTTGATATCTAAGAATTTCCCAGAACATAGATTTTTAGGAGACTCATGCATAACCTTTATCAATAGTGATTGAGGTAGGTGATTTAGATGCTTATCCTATGGGGAAGGGAGGTATCTTTAGCATACAAGACAATGTTTTTAGCATAAAAAAGGCAAAGTTAGTTCTTTGTGAGCAGGCAGGGGTCAATAGCCTGTTTGTTTAAGGGGAAGTATTAAGAAAAACAGGTCTTTCAGGAAACACAAATGTTTGCTCCCATAATCACAAGAGAAGAAGTTCCTACAATAGGTTCCTTCACAGGGTGCAATCAACATATTCAAGGCCAGAATAAGTCACTCCAATACCAATCACAAGATGCCTTGGGGGTCGGTGCTCAAGCAGAAACAATTGGGTGGGGGTGGATATGGGTTACCGTCTGATGGTAAGAGTCCATACAACTGACCCTAACCTCATAGGGAGTTCTTTCTCAACCTGAGTTCAGAAACGGCCCCCAACACTGTTGTGCCTATTTGCTAATAATTTGTATTTCTAATCTATTAAAACATTGGTAACAAATAAGGAATCCAAATCCCTTTTACTCAGTCTTTGAGTCACATTTCCTTCTGTTTCACTTTCTTACACCTAACATTAGCAAAGCAGAGAATTGAATGGTAACAATACTTATTTATAGGGTTTTAAAAAATTAAATGGAATGTCTTTTATTTTCTGTCCTTTTATCTTCTGACTTACTCAAAGCTTTAGGAAATACCTTAATGAAATTCCAATATTGATTGTAGTTTTCCCACTTCTACAGATTTCTTCACTGTTACACTTCAGTCTTTCACTTTTTTATTAAAAAATTAAATTGCAAAAGATCTAAGTACTTTTTTTAATAGAGAAGAGGCACGTACTTATGCTGCAGCATTATCAGCTCCTCTTAATGACTTCAGTCCCTTCAGCTTCTAAGCCTTAGACACAGCATTTCAAACTAGATTTTAAAAAACTTGAAATAGAATAATTCATTAGCTAAGCTGTTTTTCTGTATTTAATGAAATTTATTCTCGTGTCATATATATACACATGCATAGATACATACACACGCACAGAAGCCATTCCAGAAACTGAATGCAGGCAGTATATTCTTATGGAATAACACACACACACTAGATACAGGAAAATAAGCATTTGTAGAAGGACATTTAGATGATACTAGAGAAAACAATTTCTTTGCTTTCCAATTTCTTTTTTTTTTTAAACAAACAGCCTGATTTATTTATTTTTAAATTTTTTTTTTACATTTATTTATTTTTGAGAGACAGAGTGAGACAAAGCATGAGTGGAGGAGAGGCAGAGAGAGGAAACACAGAATCTGAAGCAGGCTCCAAGCAAACATTCAGCACAGAGCCTGATGCGGGGCTCAAACACACAAACTGTGAGATCATGACCGGAGCCGAAGTCAGACGCTTAACCGACTGAGCCACCCAGGCGCCCCTGCCTTCCAATTTCTTAACATAGACCAACTTACTGTTTTTTAAATTGTTCTTACCTTTTTAAATGTTTATTTATTTTTGAGATAGACTGAGAGCACGAGTGGGGGAGGGGACAGAGAGAGCGGTAGACACAGAACCTGAAACAGGCTCCACAGAGCCCGATGCAGGGCTCGAACCCATGAACTGTGAGATCATGATCTGAGCCAAAGTGGGACTCTTAACCAACTGAGCCACCTAGGCGCCCAACACACTTTTTTTAAAATTCATTTTGTGTCAAAGTAAAGGGGTAACTAGTATTTCTCTCAGTTTTGGTGATGTTTCAGATAATTTTTATGTAGGGGTACTCAGTGAATCTCTTAAAATAGAGCTGCTTAGAGGCACCTGGGTGGCTCAGTCTATTAAGCGTCAGACTCTTTGTTTTGGCTCAGGTTATGATCTTATGATTTAGGAGTTCAAGCCCCATGTCGGGCTCTGCACTGACAGCTGTGGAGCCTGCTTGGGATTCTCTGCCATCACCACTCCCATCCCCACTGTCCCTCTATTTCCCTCTCAAAAATAAATGAAGAAACCGTAAAGAAAAAAAAAAAATTAGAGCTCGGGGCGCTTGGGTGGCTCGGTTGAGCATCCAACTTCAGCTCAGGTCATGATCTCATGGTTCATGGGTTCAAGCCCCACATCGGGCTTTGTGCTGACAGTGTTGAGCCTACTTCGGATCCTGTCTTTCTCTCTCTGCCCCTCCTCCACTCACTTTCTCAAAAATAAATATAAAGAGAGAGGAAGGGAGGAAGAAAAGAGAAACAAAAAGAAAAGAGAAAAGAAAAAGAAGCAAGCTACTTAGCTCATGGTCAGTGGAAGAGCTTTAGGAGATCCATCAGTCTTCTGCATATGTACAAAAATATGTGGATTTTCCTAGGGAGCAGATCATAGTTAATATCGGATTCTCATAGAGGGTCTAGGAACCTCAAAGACCTTGTGAACCACTGATGTATAAATTAAATTATTTTATAATAGTCTTATTATTTAGAGGCTGAATTGCCTCAGCAAGCATAAGGTTCTTGAAGGAGCGTTGTGTTTTAGTCATAGTCTTAGATATCCACATGCTCTACAATGTAAACATAGTAGAAATTCAGTAAACATTAGATGAATTGATTTGGAAAAAAAAAAAAAAAGGTCCCATCCTCAGTATCCATGGACTACCTTATTTTCTTCAGACAGATTTGACAGGCCTCATGTCATTTTTGGCAAGAGAAGGGAGACAGAGAACCGGTCTCTAGTTAAGTGTGGAACGCCAGGGTTATACTTATCTCCACTTAGAAGAAGGGGCAGAAAGGAGTCAGCATGGGTCGAATTCTGCCATTTACCTACCCTTTTGGGATCTGGGGAAGTACTTCCTTTCCTAAAATTGAGGAACACTGGATAATCACTGTACTCCCTTCCAACCCGATCTCTCTCCTCTCTCTCTTTCTCTCTCTCTCTCTCCTGTCTCTCTCTTTCTCTCTCTCCTGTTTTATCTCCTGTCCACCTCCCTCTCATATTTGAATTGAATTAGCAAATCCCATTGACCTGGAAAGTGGACCAAGTTCAGCTTTCCTCCATGTAGATAACTATACTCTTTAAAAGGTTCACTGGACATAAGTGAATCTGTACTCATGGTCATCAGTATACCCTTACTAATTTGATTTTAATCTGAATAATACCAGGAGAATGAAAGAACCCAGTATAGCGTGAAGATCAGTGATCCAGAATGGGGGCTTCCTGGTATGGAAATAATGGTGGATTTGGAGTAATGGATCTCAATTCAAGTCCCAGCTCTGCCAGTTAGCCTGTACAGAGTACTTAAATACATTTAAAGTTTAATGCAAACCAATTTTTGAGCCCCTGTGTAAAAGAGGAAAAGGATCTTGTTTGTGTTAATCACTTATTTAGTATATACATTTAATGACTTTCTCTCATTTTCTGATGGTCCCCAGTGCCCTCTTTGATAACAGATTTCTTTTTTTTTTTTTTAAATGTTTTATTTATTTCTAGGAGAGAGAGAGAGACAGTGTGAGCAGGGGAGGGTCAGAGAGAGAGGGAGACTCTCTCTGACAGACTGAAACAGGCTCCAGGCTCTGAGCTGGCAGTCAGCACAGAGCCCGACGCGGGGCTCGAACCCACGAACCGTGAGATCATGACCTAAGCGAAAGTTGGACGCTTAACCGACTAAGCCACCCAGGTGCCCCTGATAACAGATTTCTAACCATGAACTCTGGCATTTTAACACATCCTCTTTTTCATTAACACTGCTACCATATTAAGTTACCATCTGCTTTCTGACCTTCAGAGTGTAATTTTTGGCACATTCTGAGTGAACCTGAGGTATTGTTCTTGTTTTTGCAGTTCTTTCCTCTCTATATTCTTCTTCCTAAAAACTTTCACTTCTGTGAGCAAAATTATTGATCAGAGAAACTGTCCTTATGGACAGACCTTTTCTCTCATGGGTTAGTGTGTGACTTTCATGAACAATCAAGGAATTAAAGTTACTCATCAAGGGTAAATAAGCCAATTTTAAAAGGCCAAGCTCTAGTAACTGATGTAAAGTTAGAAACATGATTCCCATTTTAAGGGATGTTTTTATATGGTTTAAATTTGGGCTTTTAGCCCCACCCCCACCCCACCCCATACACACCCCATTAATGT